TGGCCGCATATCGTCAGTCAATGCCCTAGTTTACACTGGCAGGAAACTTCCATGCGTGCCTACGTGTGTACCACACGCAGTCCAGGAGAACAGCGCACACAGCTGTGTATACACTGTGCTTTATGATGGGGAGTGGGCACAACTGTCAGGAGAAACGGGGACTGGGGACTCACTGCTCAAACACATGTGGCTTTTCTTCTTCAAGTTTATAGCTGCAGCATCTTCTAAGGTATCAAGCATATGACCGACAACAGAAAAAACATAAATATCATCTTTTAATGGTGATAAAGAAATCCCAAAGATTTTACCACATTTGATAGAAAATTCTTGTGCTAACAAATCTTCTACAATGACAATAAGGCACATTAGTATTTAAAAATGACAACTGATGCAGATCTAACAGAGACAGCATAAAGGAGAGTCAACAACATGCAGAGGCTATATCCCATAGCCGATGGTAGGACGTAAGGAGGACACTGACAAAACACAACTTTCATCACAAACATTTGGTCGGTGAGCACAGCACTCAACAAGGAGCTGACGGCAACACATCTCTCCCCACGCTGGGCGCAAGGCAAGGTCCGCGTCAGCAAACACCCACCCAGCACGGACTGATGCCACAGAGCAAGACGGCTCTCCCAGCACCCTGGATTCTGCCACCAAACTGGGGGAAAAGTTATACCTTATTTTTACTGCACAGATAAGTCACAGTAAAAAGTAAGGCTATTTTTTACTCACACTATTCAACTTTTCCATGTTCTTTTCAAAGAAACTATTTTGTAAACTGGTTAGGTCAGCCGACTGATGTGATATATTCCATTCCTGAGGTCCTGTTTGGTTAAACTGATTCTCCAACTTGAAAAAGCTACTCTAGGCAAAATTTGTCATTTTGTTTATTCTGCAAAACATTATGTCACAAATATCTAAAATTATTCTGAATTTAAAATAATTAAAAAATCAGACCCCAGAACATACCAAGGTACCACAGATGATCTTCAGAGACTCAAGAGGCTGGTGAACTGAAAGCATCATGTGCTTTCCAGAAAAAGTGAGGCTTTACCTCTCCTTAAGCATGTTTCAGCTGCATTTCAAATATACATAAAATTTACTCCCTTAAGTCAAAAATCAGACATAAAAAACTTGGACCCAAGTCCAGCTAAATGTTTCGCTTCCTATCTTCCTATGGAGTCCTCAGATCACCTGGGAGCCAGACTGAGAGCTAAGTGCTTTCAGAGCTGGAGAGAGCTGGAATTCAAATATTTTTGGCAGTATATTTACTCAATGGAGATTTGATTCTCCATCCAACGCTGAAATATTTTGTGTATTTGCACATTAGAGAATAGCAATATGCCTTAGCTTATACAATCTCTAGAAAATAAAATAGAAAGGTACTAATTATACTACGAACTAAATATATATATATATATTAAATATTTGCCATTTTACCTAACCAGAGGCCTCACTTTTAGCATTGTAATGATCTCAAAAGATAAGGCAAGACTCAGACTTATTTCCACTTCAGGTGGAATTTGTCTGAAACAGTAAAGATCAGGTAGTTTTACATGAGCAGCTGATCCTACAAAGGCTTACAAATATGATAACCAAGTGCAAGTAATTCTTGGGACTTAACAAGGTCATTCACAGTGCAAAGTCTGCACTAAAGACATTGCTCTTTTCACCTATGCCAGCATAGTAGAAGTGCAAAGCTCTTCTGGTGGACAGTTACATCAATATTGAAGTCTCACAACGATATCCTACACTGAGACTCAGTAAAGCAAAGTAAGCTACACAGACACAAAGCACCTTGTATGGGATGAGCAGCAGATGACTGCTATCTGCATCACAGCTTCACTAGCTTAGCCATGTCGGTAAAAAAAATCTAAAGAACGTAAATCACCTTTCCAAAGCACATGAAAAAAAAAAACACAACAGAAGATAATGCCCTGAAACAAACTTTTTGCCTGAAGAGTTTCATCCTCAGCTCAAAGGGTTTCCTCTTGTTCCAGTTTCTATGATCTTCTAGACCAGCAGTCTCCTACGGCCCAGCCGTGCTCCTCACTGCGCTGGGAGCACAGGGAGGCTAAGGTCAGTGCTGAGCCTGGGTGAGCCCGCGCCTGCCTGCGTGCCTGTGTGCAGGGCCAGCATGGGTGTTCCTGCACCATTTCTGGAATGGAGACACGTGGGTGACGTGACTTCAGCCTGCTTAAAAGCTCTTTGCACCAGCAGCACTGGAGATGATAGCAGGCAGCTAAGCGTGGTGGGGAACAGTGAGTTAGCACAGCCCTTGGGTGAAAGGTTCAGGGAACTGGACCCAAGGAGACGCACAGCGTTGCTGGTCTTCTCAAGGGAGGTTTGGCCACAGAAAGACTGCATCCCACCAGGTAAGACCTAGATCTAGGACCTGGCACAGGCAGAGTTCACGGTCGACCTCAGCACAAGGCTGTGGGAAGCAGCTGGGTATCAACTGGCTTAAAACCCTGGTGCGGCAGCCAGGACGCTTTCCTACCTGCAATACCTCACCTCTGCACTTCAGACCCATCAGCAGTGGATTTTAATGTCTCGTGGCACAAGCCAGCAGAAGCAAGCAGAGACAAAGGAATGGCTGTTTTTTCCCAAGAGAGAGTACCTTTCTGTTCATTGCCGCAGCCCGATGGGGAAGGAGCACAGCAGTCATGGAAGCTCTGCTGTCCTGGCTGGGAGAGCCATGTGTGGACTTCGATTAAAATTAGCTAAAAATAAATAAGCATGAAAACAGAAATCCCTTACGTATATAGTTCAGGACAGTGACTCATGCAGCAGCACTGAGCAGGAACTAGGTCCTGCGTTATTACACTCATTATGGAAAAAGGCACATGGCTGTGTAACACAGTGTCACAGTAGCCCCATAATAAAGACATCTCCAGGTTAATCTGTTGTTCCTGGGCAGCACTGTTACTCCTGCAGCTACACAAACCCTCGCACAGCCCCACATCGGGCCAAGGCTCCAGCCTGCTTGGGGGGGGACATGCACAGTGGTCCACAGTCCCCGTTCTCCCAGCTCCAGCACCCAGATGACTGGTGGGGTTTTGGGTTTTACACTCTCTGTTCAGGAGCTTTAGGCTTATCAAAGGATCTGGCATGAAAATTGAGTAGCAGGTCACACCTAATAGCAACATACACAAAGGCAATGATTCTTCTATTTACAGTCAATCATATGCAATGTCTTACAGCAAAACACAGAAAGAAGTGTCAAGAAGGTGGACGTTGGTCTCGCAATGAAATAGAGAGGAGCAGATGGAGCTGCAATGGCTTACAAGAAAATCAAGATCACTAAATCGCACAAGACTAATGCTGGCAATGTCATTATAAATCCAAAAATAAGCACCATGTGCTCCACTGCAGTACCTTTCCCTGTTTTATGAAGTGGACTGAAAATTGTTTCCATGTCAAAACATTCACAGAAGTAAAACATTTATTAGTGCAACTGCCACATTAGGAGGAACTGACAGTACTATCTATAGCAGCAATAAACGTAAAAAAAGAGCCTGACATTTAGCAGGAGACTACTAAAGACATTTCCAGTTGTCTTTAGTATAGCTGAGACTGTGAGTGTTAATTTCCATAATGCTGTGTTGTTGCCATTAATGAATGTGCTAATGATCTCTTAATTCTTCATTTAGAGTGATAATTGCTGATTAGTACGTTTGGGAATGGAGATCAACTGATTTATACCATCTTCCAGTCTGGCCTGGGCTTCTGAAGGTTGCACCTGGGATGAACGTTCCTGTTCCAGACAGATGCATAAACCCAAAATCAGTCATTCTGAGATTCCCTCTTCCTATAGATTACAAATTAAGCTGTGAGGCAGGGATAACAGAAGGCAGATTTCCCCTTATAAAATCTAGTACATGTCTTCCACTGTTCATTTAAAACAGTAGAAGGCAGAAGAGCCCTTTCCCAGACAGAAACAGGAGTATCACAAAAGTGTAACTGGAAATATATAGCTGCTGCATCCATCATACAGCAGCAAAAGATATATATATATATATATGTACACGAACACACATATACACACGCACATATATATATGTGCGTGCGTGTATATACATATATATGAAATTCCTTTATAAAACAAATTCTTTAGGGTAAGTTTTCAATCAGTGGTCCTTGATTCCTAAAGGTGAAATTGGATTACTTCTAAAGGGTCCATAAACAGCCAGTAGGCTCAAATCAGATTCATGCCTCTGTTAAAAAATGGTTCTAGTCCTAAAAGGAAAACAGCTGAAAACCCACTGTTTTAAGAAATTCCAGCCATGACAAGCTCTAATCTTCAGTTAATTCCAAAGGACTCTCTATTATACTGAACTCTCCGGCAAATAGCATTTATTTCTGTTCCCTTTTAACCAGGGCTGTGTGTATTAATATAGACTTATTAATACTATGACCTCTGGACGTTATCTTAAATAAGAACATTAAAAGTTGTTCTTTTGCTTGGCTGGCTGCCTTTGCTGTTGCATTTTAATATGGTTTCTTGTGTCTCACTTGACATGGAATTTGGAGGCTGTATTACCAGTCGTAGCTGCACAAATAGCACTGAGGCCAGATTCGATGTGCTCTAACTAAACATAAATCACTTCAGTATATCTTTTAGCTGTAATCTAAATTAATTCTTTGAAAATCAATTTATGGCTGTTTTATTGTGCTTTTATGTAAACAAATACCCAGGAGCTACAAATACGTATGCTGTAAGCTGTGGAAAGTGTGTACTTCTTGGAAGTAACGTTCCTATTTCTCCCTTTCTGGCACAGGTAGAAATGGATTTGAAAAAACATCTTTTAATAAATAATTACTGTTTTCCCCTTCTTGGTTAGAATTTGGTTACACAAACCTGTGCATGGTCACAGGTCAAAAAATCTCCACCTGGGCAGCATGGAAAGAGTACAGGAGAGAGGAGTTGAGTGTAAAGAGGAAAGAATCCCCCAGAGCAATTTCTGCTTTACTTCTATCCCACCCTTAGATTTTCCCTATCTACTGTCCACAATTCTAAAGAGCTCCTAAACATTAGGAAAACAAATAACTGACCATAAGCATGAATCAGACTTCTAAACAGCCACCTCTGAATAAAAATAATTCCAGAAAAATTCAAGCTGAAGAGGCAAACTTTCCTGGCATGTAAAGGCCTGTGCAGAAATGAGATAACCATGTCCCCATTGCCTGGCTGCATTAGGATCTCAGCAGACAATGACAAAGCCTCTGGAGGTGATAGATGGTTAGAAGCTATTCATTAAGACCTTTTCATGCATGTTTAGATTTTATTTATCTATCTGTCTCAAATTCAGGGACGTTACAAAATCACCGACCAATCACTCCACAGTAAAGACCAGAGCAAACAGTTCCCATCAGTCATTTGTAGAAAATACAAGGCTGTGGTGATATGGAAAAGCAATGCCAGAACAAGGGACAAGAAATGAGTTGCCTCTCATTATTTGACTGGACAGGCTGCCTAGACTACTTCAAAATTCTGTCTGATCCATAAAGATAGGGTTGCAATAAAGACTTCAATGCTGACAATCAAAACTCAGAGGGGAACTGAGACATAGAAAGTTCAAGAGAGAAGAGAAATGAGATGAACAATCATATGAAAACTCTTAGATTCACAGATTGGCCATAATCAAGTTAAAAAATTTCCTTCATTCAGTACCACCTATTGAATCACTATACCCAGGCAGGCAAATTTAAAGCATCAAAACAGACTGCACAGTAACCAGTGTGTTAACAACCCTGGCTCTTTTTGTCTGAGTGCATATATATTGCATAGACATACAGACCCACAGCCATTTTTTCCCAGGCTTTGTTCCAATTTGCAGCCTTTCCACTGCTAGTTCTTAGAAGTGCTGGTCCCACTGTGCCCCTGTGCATCCAATGCAAAGTCCACAGCCTGGTGCACACTGTGGAAGAGAAGGTGGTCCTCCCCCTCCTTAAAAAATTCTCCTCGGATCAGGGAACTCCTCACCGAAGGATTGCACTGGGCCAGTAGCACCTGGATATCTATCTCCCTGTAGTCCTTGCAGACCTCTTTGAGCGTGCGTATTCCTGCTGTGTCCAGAAACTGTACTGCACAACAGTCAATCACTATTGTGTGAAACCCCAGAGGTTCAGAAACAAAATCCATGGAGATGCTGGTCTGGTTGCCACTAGAATCCACCTCTTTCTCTTTAAGCATTCTTTTTGCTGCCTTTTTCTTCGCTTCCTTCACCCAGACTGGGTTGACTCCAGTTTGCTTGTACAGGGTGGATTTAAAGCACTCTTTGTTGATGTAGTAGAGGGGTGCTTCGAATCGGAACACGACAATCCCTGGCTTGGTTTGCAAGTTCTTGTAAGCAGACAGGGATTCATATGTCTCAGACTCTGCCACCCAGCCAAGCAGCGGTGCCTCCGGTCTCTGAGTTCGGAAAATGACGCAGAGCATAGAGAAGCAAACACCAACCAAAAGACCAATCTCAGTACTGATGAGTGCTGAGGCTGCCATAGTAACTAGCCAGATCACTGTGTCCACTCTGCTCAAATGCCACATTTTTGGCAGGTCCTTGAACTTGCGCAGGGCTCCTCTGAGGTTTACAATGGTTATGACAGCAAGGACACATTTCTGAAGGGAATAAAATAAAGGTGCAATCACAAGGAGGACTAGTAGGATTACCAAACTAGTCACCATGCCAGACATTTGTGTCCTACAGCCTGTGGACTCTTTGACAAGAGTTTTGGCAAGAGCTGCGCTTGTTGTGAAGCAATGGAAGAAAGAGGGAATGATGTTGCAGAAGCCAATGGCATACATTTCCTGGTTGGCCCTCACGGAGTAACCATGCTTCTTGGCAAACATTTCTGAGAGGGAGACAGTGATGGCAAAGCCAATAATAGCTATGGGGATAGCATCCAAGGCCACATTAGGAATTAGGTTCCAGTCTGGAGGGCGGGGTGGCAGAAACCCAGTTGGGATGTGTCCAGCAACGCTTGAGCCATAAGTGTCTCTCAGGTTCCCAAAGTGAGATGCCAGAGTAGCTGCCACAATCACAACTAGTTCAACTGGTATTGGAGCCTTGAGCCTGGATTTAAAATATTCATTAAGCTCTTTGGTTGGGATAAGTACAAGAAAGCACAAGAAGCTGGTGATGAGATCACAGATGTTGGTCTTGTGTATGTTTCTGAAAATGTTTATCCACGTGGCTATGAGGGAGCCGATGCCACTGCTCCGTGGAATGTCTAGGCCCAGGAGATACTTGGCTTGTGAGGTTAGGATGGTGAAGGAGGCACCCGTGACAAATCCACTCAGCAATGAATCGGAGAGGTACACTGAGACAAAGCCCACTTGAAAGAAACCCATGGCCACCTGAAAAGAATCAACCACACAAACAGATTAGGATGCGAATCTTGCAGATGTCATCACTGTGGGGCTCTGGAGGGAGATGCAATAAAAAACACCACTGCGCACAGCCCTGGAGGACAAGGCATGGTCAGAGCATGGAGAAAAGAGTCTCCAGCATTCAGCTGCTCCTGGCGCACCACACTTAAACAAAATGCATTTCTAACAGAGCGCCAGCTTTTTGGGAGTGTCTTCATACTCTGAACCTGTGTTTATTGTTTGCTCATTGGTTCAGTTGTAACTTCTAGTTACCCTAGCAAGCAAAAAAAGAAAGCCTGGGAAAAAAAGCATCTGAAATACTGGCTACTTCTGCCATTTCTCTTTCAAGTTCTTACAATCTCTGTGAACTTTGCAGGGATCCAAAACTTTTTTGGTTGTCTTTGTCTGTCTTATACTGGAGCTCACAACCTGCAATGAAAATACACCTTACGTCATAACAGCTGTACTTTGCACTGCATAAAGTTTGGTGCATCTGACTCAGAAAGTATATGAGCTGCAAACTCTTGTGATGCAGATTATATAAATAGAGATAAATTTTTAAAGAAGTGCCTTGTCATTCATTTTTATTCATGCTAGTTGAACGGACACATCCTTGGTGCTCTCTCATTGAAATGACTGGTTTTATGGATACCTACTCTACACATGTGTTTTTGCACCTGGTAAATGTCTCTTCCTCCCCGTCAATCTTCATGCCAAATGGAGCATGGACCTTCTCACAGCAGTTTGCTAGAAACCTTTTAATTCCCTGCGCTGGCCAACAGGGATGTCGACACTCTTATCTGAAGACTGCAGGCCAGAACTCACAGGTATTAAAACTTTAAGTAGTGTCAATTTGGTATGTCCTATTAGATAATTGAGGCAAAAAAAAAAAAAAAGAAGGCTAGGATCATGCCTGGAAACTTCATAAGAACCACAAAGCATTACTGAAGAGAAGGTTGGTTTGGGACCTGGACTGACTGGACATGGGCTCAGAGCCAAGCTCTAAAAAAGTCTCCCTCACAGCCTTGGTAATTAAGTTAATTAAAGGTTTTTCTAACTGTAAAACATTAGCAATAATTGTCTTACCTAGTTATGCTGTAGGCAGCTAGTGTGAGCAGGCTTGCTTTTTGTGATTTGACTGTAAAGTTTCTGATACAAAGAATATGTGATTTTGGTTAGAGCTTCCAATAAAAAAAAAATATATTTGAGGGTGTGAAGACCTACTGGTTAGCAGGCAGAGAGACAGCAAGTAAAATATGCCTAACATTCAGAGGGACTTAAGATAAAGTAATCTGACTTCTTCATATAAATTAACTTAATTGTACTTGTACTTGCAAAGAATATTAAGAACAATTCACAACTCCAAAACTGCATCCATGCTACAGTGAAGCACAAAATCCAGTGTACCTCAGAGTCCCAGAATATTTCTGAAATTACTCAACACTGACTTCCAGTACAAGAAGTCGTCCCAGGTTGTGCCTAAAAACAGTGTTTTAGAGTATCACAGGTATGTTTCCCTTTCCTCTCCTATACAGTCTGATTAGCTATCACCCTGGAGGTCACTGTAAGAACAAATGAATGTGAACTCACAAACTGAAATACCACAGCTCTGCAGCACTGTTAAAACTAAATCCATTCTGGTTAATGCATGACACTAAAAACAAAGATACCTGCTTTAATTTCAGCGAGCAGTTAATTCTAGGAAGTAATTAGAGACAGAGTGGTAAAATATTGTCAAGTAATATATTTTAATATGGTAATAATTCAAAGTTTTATTTCAAATATATTTTATCATCTCACTAGTATCCTTCTCATACAATGGCATTGTTTTGGCTTTGAATGGGCAAACAGCGAAGTTTTACAAGCACAGTGATAAATAAAAAGAAACTGGAGATACTTCTACTGTCCAGATTATTTTTTGATAAAAGAAAAGGCAAATGCCTGAAGTCTGGAATGAAAAGCTGACACATCACATTTTGGCCCAATGAAATGGAGGCCTAAGCTATAAGCCAGCAAAAAAAAAAAAAAGCTTCAGGCCACAGTGAGGAAGGTGGTGAGCAGATTGTGTGAGAGCAGCAGGTGGCTATGTGCAGGTCCTTACAGTCCCCAACAGAGCAGCAACACAAGCACAAAAACTTATTTAAAAAAGGAGAGGACACAGAGGAATTTCTTGCACTGCAGTAACTGCACAGTAACTGGAGACCTCCAGTCCTCCCTGTGTCCACTCCTCTGGGATGCAGATTGAGGACACATGCAAGCCCAGCAGGCTGTTCATGTGGACAATCACTTAAAGAATTAAAACTATTTCCACAGAAAACCTGTTTGCCCACCTCCTCTTACCTGATAAACTCCAGCTATGAAGGTCATGGTGGCTCCCACTGTAATTGCATAGCAGCTTTTGTCACAGAGCAGCTTCTGCAATGTCTGATTCACAGGCAAAATGGTGGTGTTTACGTACGCTGCTGTATCTGTGAGGACACTGAGCGCAGCTGGTTCTAAGTCATAGCCAGCTCTCTGTATTTCACGATCCACCACTTGTCCCACCATCAGGCAAAGCACACCAAAGATGCCAACTGAGATGTGGCGGGAGGTTCCAAATATGAAATAAATAATGCTGGCAAAAAAGGATGTATAAAGGCCATAAATAGGCTCTTGCCCAGCCAAGAGAGAATAGGCAATTGACTGTGGGACTAGTAACACCCCCACAATCACACCAGACATTATGTCTCCCAGTAGGTACTCTCTTAGTTTGTATTTAGGAAGCCACTGCAAGACAGGAAAGAAACTGAAAACATAGTCTTTAACTTTGGCTGGAGTGCAGCTGCAAGTTTTCTTTGCTTGCTTAACCATCAGAGCCTTCATGCTCCTCTTCTTCTCTTGGGGTTCCAAGAACATTCTGTGATGGAAACTGCGTTTAGCATCGTCTCCTTCTGGCATTTCAGTCACTGAGTGGACGTTGTTGAATTCTGCCATTGCTGCCATCTCAGGGACTCCCTAGAAACACGAAGAAGGACCATTTGCATTAAACCATAAATGAATGCTCTACATGAGACTTTTTAATAGACTGAATACAATGTTTATGAAAAGCAAGGGCTAAAAGTCTTAGTTGAGCACAGAGAAAGCAATTGCCAAGCAAACTTGGAAAGAGCCTCCCCATTATATCCCTGTTAAGCAAGGAATCACCTTCCCTAGGAGGGAAGCTGACATCCCATAGAATAAACCTGCTGCTGGCAATGTTGTGAAATGGAAGAGAATACAGCAGCACTGTCCCTCTGGGAGGCTTAATAAAATCACTGTCTGCAGCCTGTTCCACCGTGCAAAGATAGACACAGAGCAGTCCAACAGTCACTTCAATTCAGTTGCTGAAAATTAACTACAATTAGTATATCTCTAACATGGCACAGCTTGGTCTAAATCTCATTTATATATACTTTTTAAAAAAAAATGCAGTGATTACACCTACCAAATATTGTAAAGATTTGTTACCTAAGAAGATGCAATCTTTACACAGTGGCTTTATTTCAGCCAATGACATACTGGAAAGAATGCTCTTCACACTTTTTAAAAGCCGGTTTTCAAGTAAATTACATCTGACCAAAACAATACATACAAGCGGAAAGCATGTTAAAGGGCACAATGGAAGTTAGGTGGAACGCTTCTGCTAGAATGTGTGCTCTAGTACAGGCTGCCTACAAACAGTAAAACAAGTTGATTGTATCAAAACACATTTAATACTGGAAACATATTGCCTGTCTTGAAACAAGCCCTAATGAAACTTCACAATACCAACAGTGATTGCCAGCATTCATACAGCACTCCCGGTTTCCAGAAAAAAATCCAGAATCCTCCAGAAAACCCAGCCACAATACCTGCTACTACTAGTACACTGAAGTTGATAGATTTCAGGCAGAAACCCATTCGCCTGGTGCTACAGTGGAGTCAAGGCCAGAGACAGCAGCAGAACCCTGAAAAATCTAACTCCCAGGCTTCCCTTTCAAACACTACCTTGCAGTCCCAGAGTGCTATAACAACATATCCCTTATGTGCTAATTACACCTTCTCTGTGCAGGGCAAACATCAATCAAACTAACGTTCTATGCAATGTTTATGACTGAATTAATCACCAAATCGGTATTGGAGCTAGCAGTGCTGAGGATGTCCCTGAAAAGTCCATCTCAAAACTTGTTCACTTAATCATCATTTCACAAGTAGCTATAAAACATTCACTGCTACTATCACTTCAGTGTTAAGTCTCTCAAAAACATGTGAGGGGAGAAGGGAGCGAAGTGAGTTTAAGCGTGGTGCTCAAACCACCCGTTTCTCCTGCAGTGAGACCATTGCAAGGCACTGATCCTACAGCTATGCAGAGGAAACGCCTTCTCTTAGACCTTGGTCTAGCTGGCTGGAGCATACGATTTCTGTTCCTCCATTCCAGGTTTGATGTTGTCATACGGAGGTATCCAATCTGCTGTGCACCAGCCCTATATAATGGTTTACACACAGCCATGCCTCCAGCAGTCTGCTAGCTCAGACAGAGATGAACTACTTTTGGTTCTTCTGGCTAGAAAGACAATACCAACCCAAGTACCTACTGTCTTAGAACAGCCTAAGCAAATGATCCTAACCATATCAAAGGAACCCACATGAGAGTAGAAGCAGCTACAATAATTAATGTTTAGACTGGCTTCTCTTTCCAGATAAAAATATTCAGAGATTTCTAAAAGAGCCTTCCAATTAGAAACCAATTCAACGCAAGTAATCCAACTCTTCCACCTCACACCGTAGCATACTGCTCCCTACAGCTACCAGGCTACAGCGTGCAGAGGGCTATCTAAAGTCAACACATGGGACAGATGCCGACAGATAGCCAACAGAAAATACCAGAGGCATAGGTTCACATTTTATCTTCTGCTCCATGCTGGGACTCCCAAAAGGCGTCTTCATTCACTATAGAGCCAGAGACAGCAAGCGTCTCTTTGGTGGGTAAGCTCCTGAATCCTTTCAAATAACTGAACACAGCTCTTTGCTAGACTGCCGCTGGACTGCTACTGGAAGGGAGCCATGTTTCGAACAGAGACCTCCCTGGCTCCAAAACTGCGAACAGCACAATAGCATCAGCAGGGATGGATTTTCTGCATAAGATAGGGGCTGTATGCCTTCCTGTTATGATATCATGATCTGTACAACTCATGCTCTGTTACATGCTGGGGCAGACTGAAGAGCATTGCCAGGCCTCATGCTCTGGGCGAGATACTTTATTAATACCTACCTCTCGTTCTCCACACCTACCAGATATTTCTAGCAATGCATCAATGCTTTTCTGCAGCTCCTGCCCTGTTCCATACTCCCATACCTCCAACTCTATGCCTAATTCACGCATGGGGTCTGCAGGATGGTCTGCAAACCAGCAAGATGAAAATAGAGCTCTAAGCACAACAGGGGGGCAACATGCCTCTTGGTGGATGCTGCTCTGAGCACAGGTAGAAGTGCTGCTTTGGGAAAGTCACACTCCAAAAAAAGGAAAAATGAAGCTTTAATGCACTGCTAGGTTAAGTGAGACCTAAGTGAAAAATTCCGTAATTTGAACTCAAGTCCTATTTCTGGTATCTATGTCCTTCTTTTCGTCCTGGCCCTTATAGCTTGGAGAACTGAGAATTCTGGATACAAAGATGAGTGCACCCAGAACTCTAATACATACACATTTTTAGGGCTAAATTTTCAAATTTATTTTTTTGTCTCTATATTTGTTCTTGTTAGACAAGTTAATCACCTAGTACAATAGAAGGTAAGAGAAGAAAGCTTCAGTTTTGGCTACCTGCCTTCTTGATTATTCCAAACTTCTATCTTACAGCTTCCTGGCCATACAGTATTACTGTATCACATACCTATATACATCTTACAGTGACAAGCTTCCCTTGGCTAATGCCTTCCAATTCAGTATCTTTAATGTGTGTTAGAATAATTATAGGCTCAGAAGAGCCGTATGAAGAATGAGGATCTTTACAATGAGGAAACATGCACTACAAGAAATGACATACTCAAGATCACATAGTGATCATGCTTGGAGGTGAATCCATCACCACCTTCCAGATATCAAATCTCAGCCACATGTACAGTATTGCAAAGTCCGCTCAGGGATTATTCATAGCACTTACCAAAAAAAAAAAAAAAAAAAAGGCAAATACTATACACTGAGAATGAAATGAATATAGTGTACAAAAGCATGTGTCTGCAGTACTCTGCATAAGCACATTCTGTAGTTGTATTTGCTTGAGCAGCTTTATTGATTTCACAAGCACAGAGTTACAAATCAATACTGTAAAAGCTGAGGGAAAAATTCACCCCAGACTACTTTTTATGTGTAGCAAATTACTTGAATGAGTCTGTTTTCTGAGATTTTAGCAAAGATTTTAGTAATGAAAACCCTTCTGATTCCTCTCTCCCTCATCCAGGACTTGTAGACAGCTCACTCAAACCTGGGAGTTTTTCTTAACATTCCAAGGAACTCCAACACAAAACCCAGATAGTTCAGTTTAGTTCTTCTGTGCAGTGCCATCACGCATCTGCATAGTAGAAGATACTGGGTTTTTTTGGTCGTGTCTAGACAGTGGAGAACTGTTCTAAGTAAAAATCTTTTTGGCTACTAAACTCTGAGCATATACTGGATCTTTGTGTTGACCTGCATGACAGCTTTCACTACGTGGCATGAAAAGGGCCTTTCATCACACAGTCACTGCCTCTTGCCAGGTCAGGACACTAGGAAATGACAAAAATTGCAACACGTTTCACCCTTTTCTGCCTGAAAGCGTTGCTCTGTATTATTTGTGTAACTGTTTAGCCCAAGCTTACTTAGTAAAACTGGATTTTGTTCTTAAAAAAAAATAAAAATGGAAACAGCCTTTGGTTCAGTATACTGAACGATATTCTGTATATTTAACTTGGAAAAGGAGCTACTGTGCTTTTTATTTTGAAAGCTGCTATTTACGTACAACTAATTTGTCTGCCTAGAATTCACTTTTACGAGCTCCTTTTGGCCTGAGGAAGATCTTCAGGGGGAGTCCACCTGCCACAAAGCTTTACTTAAGATACAAAGAAAAAGACTACAACACAGAACTGAGGAAATTTCCAGTATCTCTGTTATCAAGTGACTGCCATAAAATAAAGATATGGGGAGGTACTGCATTCTTGTTACAGACTGTTTTTCTGGATCCCATCTGGGCCTTTCTGACTGATCCCATGACATGGCAGAGGTGAGCTATCACCTGTCTAGCGTCTCTCTTTGGGGAAACACTACCTGCAGCACAGGGCCTTGCTGGCTCGGACTTCATTTCTTTGTCGCAGATCACAGTCACCTTGACAGTATGAGAATAATGGATTGTGAAGCTTACTCACCTGCTGAAATAACATATTTACAAGCTTAAACATAAGACGTGTGCATTTAAGAGTAGAAACTAAATCAAAAGTGTTCTTTCTATAACACCGATCTCAGTTTTCCAGACTATTTTTCTACATTTCAGGTGCACAAGTCGTCACTGTATGTGATCACTACCCACCCTCACGTACCCACTTGCTAGACATGAGAAGTTGCATGCACTTAAATGCATGCACTTAAAAACTAATGCATAAACACATAACCTAAAGAGACATGAACAATTTCTGAAGAGATGTAAAGGAGAAGCAGGTGAATCAGAAATCCAAGTTCCACGTGAACTGAATCGGAGGTAGACTACTACCTCTGGGTCCTTGGAAAATCTCACCCTAAGCGTAAAAAAGGAAAGCGTATCACAACATTTTGATAACTATATCTTTGTCCTTACTCTTGCTGGACAACAGCCGTTTCCAAATAATCTCTTAACTATTGTGGAGCAACAAGGAAATTCAATACTGCCATGATAACAACGAGATAGGCACTGGAACAGCGCTGCATGTACCTTGGAAGAAAATTCAGATTTCTGACAAAATCCTTAACACCCTCCAATAAGACATTC